TATGACGTCATTGGCGTAAGCAGTGACGCAACTAGTCAAACAATGACAAACTTAGCTTAAAATTAAAGCTTACCATAGAAAAGACAGCTTATAATTTTTAACACCTGTAAAATGTGGCTGCTAAAACCTTCTACACAAGGCGTTCTTTCAGCAGCCACCAATGCGTAAAAGTGCGTCGACATTGCGTGTAAGCATATGCAGGGAAGTGCCTATACTAGCGTTTTTTCATTTAATTTTATCAAATTTTCAGCAAACAAATGTCGCCGTTATGGACAACTCTGTGGTGGAAACTTACCTCTGCATACAGTGCGGCGATGGGCTCTGCTGTCGCCTTGGAGTCTCGCTCCGTAAGTAGATGACAACGTCGAGATATTGCCAGGTATCTGCAATCTTTCTCGCCTGTGTCGCGTATGCCGCATCGTTCCTCGCGTCTGCTGCAAGGATGAATTAGTTGAAACGTTCGGACACGGAGATGGGGGTTTGCCGCGTCAAAAGTGAGCGAGGCATTGACGTGTTGTGAAACGCTGTTTTCACTGCATTCCATTGCGGAGGCATTCCTTTCCATGCAGCGTTGTATGCAAAATGAATTTTGCAATAGCTGAAGGGTTTCTGGACACTTACCCCCCCCCCCCCCCCAATGGCGGTAATCCATGGTTTGGAGGAAATCAGTGAAATCTATCAATATGCCATTTTGCGAACCAGCACCTCAACCAGGTTTTGAGGGAAATTGGACAAACACACATTTGCCTTGAGGCTTGGGCCTGACGGCTTGTGAAATTCAACTGTCAAGGAGCTGTTTTTGTAATAAAACTAAATAGAAAAATTGTATTAGCTAGACTGGCCTTTCCCCCTTAAAAGCATACCAATAGTTAAAGCAAGCTTATTTCATAATATCTGGCGCTTGCTTCAATGTCTTCAAATGCAGACCGTTTTTTGGATAGAATGACAAAAACGAAAACCAGGAGGTATATTCACACTACCAAAAGTTTTCCATGAGCAATTGTAGGTAAGCATCTGAAAAGCAGAACTAACTCAATGGGCTTGGAAAACAACATAACGATTTGCTTGTTGTAGTCATTGCTAAATGTCCAGCAAAGCTTTAAGTGGTTGAGTGAACTAAAAATGAGCCAAGCACCTGCTTTTTGCGACATTTTTTCCTAGCTCCCATACAAACTCATCTTCATATCTTTCCTTTGGTAAACCTTTCGCTGACTTTGATGCAAAACTGAAAAGTTTTGTTGTTATAAGAAACCCATGGAATGTGGACAGTGGACAACATTACATCGCCATAGGCGGAACCCTCTGACATTCCGGTGTCTTCACCTGACGAATCAAATGGGCAAACATCCTTAATCCCACTGTTCTATACCTGTTTAAGGTGAAAAGATGCTTTGTGTTATCATAATAATTTCTTCTTCTGAAAATAATGCGTCTGCAAAGCTTCATGAAGACACAACTATGCAACTCGTGGAGTACATGCATGGTTCTGTGTGCGTTTCACGCAGTCATGACTATTTTCATCCATCGTAATGCATTTCAAACGCCTTAGGTTTCTAAGCGTTGAGCTAGAAACGACACTTCTGACAGCAATAGAGGTTATAGTCTAGACTGCGGGCAAATAGTCGGTTAATCACATCAGCGCCGGTACCATATGCCATACGGTACCTGCGATGGTATTATGGTATGGTATGGGATGGTATTATTGACATGGACCCATTGGGCCCATGTCAATAATATAGTTTCGCTAACTTTGATGTATTTGACATGATTATTGACATGAACTTATTGGGTCCATGTCAATAAGCATGTAGCTCTGAACAAAAATTGTTAAACCATAACCAAATGTCGCATGAAAGGTGCTGGTCAGATTACTCTAAGTATACTTTTTAGTTGTTTTTTTTACTTTTTTTACTAAGTATACTAAGTTATTATATATAAGTATACTAATTTACCAAGTATACTAAGTGTGGCCACTTCTGCATCAATTCACGCTGCACAGGAGGCCCAGCATGCCTTCATACTAGATGCGCCCAAAACTCTTGAAGGGAGAGGGACGAAGGAGGACCGGCGATGCAGCCGTGTCATACATCATATCGCTAACGGCACATTGCGTCAGGCCCATGTGAGACGCAGAGTTTGTATCCTCTTCGGCTACAGTACGTTGTCACGCGCTGCCGTTCCAGGACGCTGCCGCGCCAAATGCAAGAGGGCAGGATACTACTGCACCTCACGTAACTGCGCCCAGGGCTACTGTTGCGAGAGGTGCTACGGCAAGAAATGCTAACACTGGTGTGCCATCAGCACTAGCTCCTTGCCGTCCACACCACAGCAGCTAAAATGACATGTGGCAACTGCAAGCTGGTGTGCTCACGGGGCGAGCGAGTACAAGCGAGCTGTGGGAGCGCGAACTGCTCTGCCGTGCTCCAGCTAGAGCGAACATTCCCGGGAGAGCTTCTTTCTACCTCGATTTTACCAGCCTGGTCAAACAAGCGCACAGCTTTTAAACGTGATCGCTCTCCGCGCCTCTTTTTCGGTTATGACGCCTTTGGTCTTATGTCAAATACATCCAGCAGCGAGTCAAGTGTACGTGTTTTCAGACATCAGGCGTGCGGTAGCAATACGAGATCACCAGGACGCTACGAGCCGGCAGGCGGGGTGATCAGGGACCAAGCTGACCGAGAAGGAGCCAGCCTTCAGAATGATAAGCGGCAGTCGCGACAACCAAGGCAGCCCAGAAAAGCTGATGGACAACCGGGGAATGGTTCGTCCAATCTCTTCTCAGACCGAACGCATCTGAAGAGGCATAGATTGACGGTCTCACTGGTTAAAATGTCTTGCAGCTGCTACTGACGCAGCTGCAAGATGGGAGCAAAGGTGCTACCAACGCCCATAGCTGGCAGCGGGGGGACTGCACACGGACACCGTGCCGGAAGCGTGTCTCCGCTAGTTGAGCAAACACTTAAAAACGAAATTTCCATACGGCTGTGGCCACGGATACCAATAAGCAGCACAACATATGCGGGTATTGGTACGGATATCAGCTTTACAAAATGCATTTCACGCTCTTAAACGTAAAACTTGTCTCTTAAATTGTACAGAATATACGACGCAGCGTGTACCAAAGGCCTTGCTGCAATATCAATAAAACACGTCGGGTAAATATGCATCCATGGACCAAATATATAAGCACCCGTGCACCATATGGTAAATGGAATCACTGATAATACAATAGATAGCTTCAAAAGGGGCGCTAAGCGCTATCAGGAGTCTCTACTTCCACGAAACTCCGACATGCTACATCACATGCTTGACGTATGATTTGACGCAAACATTTACATTTTTGTAAGTTGTCAGTGAATTAGCGAAGATCATTATTTACAATGTCGGCGTCCTGTAAAAACAGCGACCTGCTGTTTCAAAAAAAACCTGGAATATGGAGTGTGGATCTTCGGCAGGCAATTTTGAATTCACTTCTGCTGTTGTTTCGAGAAAGGCATGTTGCCGAAATATCAAACCAACTATATCTCCATTCTCCTGGTTTTCTCCGAGGAACAAGGCTCCTGTCTTATTTATTCTTATTATATAATGTATATAATATATATATATATATATATCTCTCTCTCTCTCTCTCTCCTCTCTCTCCTCTCTCTCTCTCTCTCTCTCTCTCTCTCTCTCTCTCTCTCTCTCTCTCCTCTCTCTCTCTCTCTCTCTCTCTCTCTCTCTCTCTCTCTCTCTCTCCATCACCGGCTGCCACTATCACTCTTCCCCACAAGAGCAAATGCCGAACAATGTTAAGCGCATGGCTCGGCGCGTAAATGACTCTTAGCAGTCTTCCAATGAAAGAATCCACAAAGCCATTGCCAGCTAAATTCTACTACAATCTGGCAAAAACGTAACGTAGCCTGATGTAAGCGGAGTCTACTAAACGATGAACGCTTACCAACCGAGGTAGAGAGATGTCTATGCCTGCCTCCAGACCTCACATAGCGCACACCCACGGCCACGCTGGCCAATACTGTTGGCATCGATCGTCGAAAAGCAAAGAAAACGATAAATGCGGGGTGCTGAAACACGCGTGTATCGCACCTTAATGAAGTCGATTGCTACATATCGATAACGATACATACCGATGCCGTTACCGATGCACTATCGAAGATTGATACATAACATCAACTGCAAATCGTAAGTTCGTCACAGCTTTTGTAAAAATGCCGATTAAAGTAAGCTGAAAGGTAATCCCATACAAACTGATGGTAAACTGCTTCAACCAAATCTTGCCATTTGTTGCTGAAATATCTCTTCCCATTTTTTCACGCTACGTAGCAGTTTTTCCGAGCGTCAAGGTAAGCGCCCGGTCAGCGACTTGCCAGTTCGAGGAACAGCAAGAAGGCTTCGCAGCTGTTGACGCTGCACCTGGGGCTGGGCTGGACTCTGGAGTCGTTACACTTGCACGTCACTCAAGGCCGGTGCCTGCACGTGAGCCGACTGGTGTCCTGAGAACGCCACGCCGGAACAGTCGGCCACGCCGTCCAGGCCGCACCTGCGGCTCCCATTCATCCAGAGTAACAACATTCTGACATACCACCTGATGTGAGCACACTGTACTTTGTTCGTTGGAAATTCGTGCAAAAGTGCTTTGTCTGTTTCTGAATTGTTTGATTCTTGCCTTTGATGAGAGTTGGACGTATCCCGTAATTCCTACAAGAAATTTGATTATGTTGCCACGGCTTAAAGCCATGGCAATCCATCAATAGATTTGAGCCTGACTCGTCCGCATATTAACATGTCCTCATTATAAAGTGTGCTATGCAACCGAGGACGTAGAGATGCTTAGCACTTACCGAAGGCTGATTTACATTTTTACATCACCTGGCTATCTGGTTTTGTTAATATACATGCTCTCGCATTGATGGCTTTCAGCTAGTTAGGTACCTTTTTGGAAACGTGCAGTCACAGCGTGGTGGCTTGGCACGGTCCTTGTCGCTGACTGTAGCCATGCGCATACTTGGCTGGTGGGTGTTCTTGTAGGAAATTAAACCTTAGGACAGCAGAGACACCTGCAATATGAATGTGATCCTCGAAAAAGTTTCTTGAAGCATTCAGGCGTCTTTTGTATTGCAATATGGAAGCTGGCAAGCGAGTAGGGGCACGGGCGAGCAGGGCCCGCCTACCGTGAATAGCGGATGGGGAAAGGTCCCGCCATGCGGGTGCAGGATGACCACTTTAAAATAATTTTTCCCCGGAAGGCTTGAGCCTGGGCGATGACGTCACTCAGGGTGACATTTGTTGCGTCTCCTTGGTGGCAGACGAACGTTGTTTTGTCTCCAGGCGAAGAGCGTTCTGGACTCATGTTGCTGGTGTTCTGGACTCACATTGCTAGCGTTCTGGACTCACGTTGCTAGCGTTCTGGACTCACGTTGCTATCCAAAGCAGCTTTTATTCTAACTAACCGTCCTGCTGCCGTACGAGTATGGTACAATTTTGTCTCACATCCTTCAAAACATTCATATATCAGCTTTCGCGACTCAGAGACGCAAGCACTGCCACAACCTATACAGCAATTACTGCAACGGTCTGGGTGTGAGCGGTTCACGGAACATAGTGAAGAGTCATCGGTTTCACTGTTGTTTCCGGGTAATAGGAGCAAGACAAACAGTCTGCGTTCCAGGCATCATCCAGCAACATTGAGCTTTGAGCATTTCTAACAAACTTAACTCGTGCGCTAGGCACTCGCAACACACCATCGTGTGATGTTGTTCTTACAACCAACACAGGCAAGACGCTTACAGCCAATATGGCTTTGGCGCTTCACGTGGAGGTCATTTGCTCTCAGTCCTGTTCATCGAGCTCCGTTACAAAGGTGAGGTCAGAGCCCTTTAGCTTCTCAGCCATCCAACTGTCGAATGTCTCGGTCATCTCTGAAGTGAAGTAGTTCTTCCAGTTGCCCGTCTTCCCCTGCCTGATGAAGTCTCCTCGATCCGGATGAAAGAAGCCAAGCTTTTTTGCGAGATGGTTGTTGACGAACTGATTCTTCCTGAAGTTGTCGATATGCAGATGACTTGCCAGCTTTTCTACTTGCTCGTCAGTGCACGTCTTGCCCAGAAACTGGGCCACTTTACGGATCTGCTTTGGCAGATCCCGCTTCATGTCCTCAAAGAAGAGGAAGCACAAGTTCGGGTGGTGACGCCGGTTCCACGCCTCGATCATGTGCTCGATGAATGGCGTCTCCACGACTAGATCTCTCATGAATAGGTCCACAAACATCTGCGGAGAAGAAAGGGCCATGAGTGGAACAAAGCGAAGCATCTGGATACTGAAATATGCGTGGTAAATGCACGTCATGATGCATGGGAAATATCCGCATTATGCAGGTAGATTTGCGCACTTGCGTTGTGAGAGGACCACCAACGTTACGTCACGTGGCAACTCGCGCGGTCGCTGTTGTTATTGACAACCCAAAATATCCAGTGAGAATGACATTTATCTGAAGGACTCCCAGTTTTTAACAGGTTCTGCCCACAAACAACGTTGAGTTTTGAGATAATTCTGACCGATTTCCCTTGTCTCCTTACCTCAAGGTCGCCGGTGAAGTCGAGGAGGCGCACCAGCCTGTTGTGGTTGTAGTAGGACACGCAGGCGTCCTTGGGGTTCCTGGCTGTGTACACGACCTTGCAGACATCCAGCAGGTGCGGGTTGCTCATGGAGAAAGGCAGGTGGCACTTGACGAAGCGTGGAGGGTCGCGGATGGCGTTGTACAGCATCGTCGGCTTTCCTCCAGTGAAGTCGGGAAGTCTCTTGGTCAGTTCTTTGGTTAGGAATTCCTTGTCGGACAGCACGTCAAGGTCCGGGAAGGCCCATCTAAAACGGCATGCCCAGAATATATAAACATAGAACTCGCCATCAGTCGCCACGTAATATCAGGAGCACGTTACTGAAGGGAATGCTACAGATTTGAAGATATTGATGCAAACGTCAGATCTGGTAAAGTAAGCTTACTTATAACTATTGGTATGGTCTTAAGTGCACAACACTATTTCACTTTTTAGTAAATATGCCCAGAACGTCATCCTTTGATCGCGTCATGGAGCGTTTGTATGACGTCGAAGTCGCTGCAAGACTGGTAGCATCATACTTGCCACTGTAGAGTATGGAATGACTCACTGGTAACATTTCAACTTGCCGAGAGCGTTATGTGCGCGCATTTCGGCCCCTTCTCGTAGTGTTCTTGCATATTTGTCCGTAATTTGATATCTTTATCTGCATTCACATACTCGGTTACGGCGCTATCCGGAAGATAAACGAAATCCGGTCAGATTTCGGTCATGACTATTAACCTTGCCCAAATTCCAGCTTTACTTAACGCAAGCTGTGATTCGTGTTCAAAACATGAACTCAACGCATTGGGCTGGTAGCACGCCAATGTTATCCGTTGATGCTACGAGTGGTACCGGCGCCCATCGGACGAAGGCGAACAACTCGAGGCCCATCTTTTTTTATCTGGAACGTTACATGCCCATTGAGGCTACGCCTGGCAAAATGCGCGTAACGTTACTATGCCGCCATGCTTCTCTGGGTGATCTCCAAAAAAGGCTGCGCGAAGTAGTCTGCACAAATCGCGTGCATCAAGCGTGGGTATGAATCCATTAAAAGGACGCAGTCCTGGTAGAGGGCACAGACCAAGTGACAGTCCAAATGCCTTTGGAATTGCGTTAAATTATCTTCAAACCGACTATCTCAGTTCAAAACCCTATACAACTGCGAAGGACTTCCTTTAACGCGCGCCCGAGTGGGCGGTTGAATGCCCATCTCTCGAATTGGGGGTCATTTTCACCCACTGAGATCTTTAAAAATTAACAAAACTAAAGACACCAACTTCATAGGGTGGTTGGCTCAGCATGTCAACTCACTTCTTGAGGATCTTAGGTTATGACATTCAGGTAAAATAGGATCAAACAAGATCAAACTCCGGATTGGTGTCCAAAGTGGCATGAGGTCACCAAAGTGGTGACCTCATGCAACCGTCGTAAACATACATACCCATTCCATGCAACATATTTGATTCTATGCCTACATTCTATGCAACAGACAGATTCTATGCCTAGATTTGAGCCTCTACGATCTTGTTTGATTTTTAGAGGGTCATGGTGGCTAAAACCTCTACGAGATTACCTTGATTTTTGTATTTGAATAACCATCAAGTATTACGCTAGACGTTATTTTCTTTTAAAAAAATGTTGACGTGGCCTTTTTAGGTCAGTGATCTACTCGTACCCTTAAGAAGTCCATGGAAAATGTTTGTCGTAGTTCCTGTTGTTGACAAATTTGAAATGAGTATCAAAAACTGCCTCAAAACACAAACTCTTGAATGAAACAGCAGGTCTTGACCCTGTTCTCTCTGTTATACCTTACACTGAGTGAACAGAGTTTGTTGTGATCAGAAATCCAATAGCTTCATCGCCTTAGAAACTATTTCATATATGCATGGCTTGCTCCAGCAATCCATGGTCGCATCAGATTGAGCGATTCGCTGAAATTGCCTTCGCTGACAGCCACAGCCAGACTTTGAACTTCCATATGTCAGCAACCTTAGAAGGCAAATATAACTTTTATATGAAGAGATCCTCTATTCGGCTGCTCTCAGCTATGCAATAGCATGTAATTTTCTCTTCAGTTTGGTGGTGGTGGTGGTGGGGGAGGGAGAGGGGTCTTCAGCCCCCCCCCCCCCACAACGGCGAGTAGAAAGTCGGACAAATCCTGGAGGCACCTGTTTGTTGGCGGATTCTGGGGTAGGTTTTTCTATTTATCATTGCGCAACCTACGCCACCGGTGCCCGTAAAAGACGTGCAGCCTTGTAGCCAGTAGCAAATGCAAATTACACGTCTTCCGTATCAGGGGGATTATATAACGTCATGAGCACACGAATAGGGCCAAGGTCTGGTAAAGGCAAGCTCAAGTCACACCCAGGCCTGGACACTTTACTCTTCCCAGTCAGGTGACCTTTTGAAGGCTATGATTTACCGATTTGTTTATATTTTTTGTTGGGATTGGTTTTGAAGCTACCGATCGAATTTAGATCGGTTTAGAGTGTTGTATCAGCCTGCTGACCATTCTCTCTCAACCGGACAAAAGCAATCATCGGATGTAACAGCTACAAGTTGATCAGCATGACTTTCAAGAGGGGCCTGACATGACCAGGCATCGAATAATTGACCTTAATGGCAAAAAAATCCGCTGGAGCCCGGCATGAAAATGACCAAAAACTTAAAAGGGTCGCCATATTGCTGCTTCTAGAAGCCCACACCATTGCGGAGGTTTTCACCAAAGATGTGATATCGCTGCGATGGAATTAAGCATGCATTAACTTTTTTCCATGCTGTCTACAACTGGTCATCTAACATCCACTCAAAATGCCTTTCATCTTCATCTCACAAAACCACATTTTGGCATTCCAAAGAGGTTTTTGTGTGTTCGCAGAGTAAAGTTGGGATAGCGTTAGGTAGTCAAAAATCACCATGTGGCCTGATGGTACGTTAGTTACGAATAACATTTACTTTTTTAGCTGAAATTCAGCTTTATTTTATAAAGACCTTGATCTTATACCAGTAATGTAAGGCTATAAGCGGAGAAAACTTCAAAAGTTTTGGGAAGGGCAGATTTGGTTTTTGATCCAGTTACATTAGTTTACACGTAACACGATAGGACGTAACACGATAGGACGTTTACACGACACGATGTTCAACCTTCTAGTGACGAGGGTTGCTGTCGCTTTGCTTCTTATTCCCATGCTGCTCTCTACAACGGTATCCGTGGACACTCTTAAAAATCCATAACCGTCATTTTGGAGAAACCATTGATCTGAAGAGGCCTTGACCATGACCACCTAGCATCACCATTGACGCATGTCAGTAACTGGTTTGAATACCACATTGCCTTGTGGGCTAATCTGGACTGACACCACCTTGACCATCGAACCAAGTTTGTAAAGGTCGCGACAATAAGTAAAGTCCATTGTAAAACTAAGAGAATACCTAACGAGGGGTTAAAAAATGCTGAACGGGGTACCGAAAATTGAGCATGTAGCACCATGGAGCTTAACTTTCACGCATTTTCTCGCGCAAATATCTGACAGAAAAAAATCAAAGCTCTGTGCTCGAAAAGGCGACAAGTTCTGAAACCTTTGAGGTCAAGTGCGACGCGATTTGCACCTGAACTATCTTAAACTAGATTTCATTTCGCCGAGCAGTGCAAGACCAGTCATCGAGAAGCCGGAGAAGTTGAAAGCCTCCGCACCCCTGCGGTGCACAGCCCCGGTGCCTCCCATGAAAGACAATTTTTAAGACAATCCCACCTATCAGGAAAGAGTGGCGTCTTAGCCCCCTCGTAGTCCAGGTCGTTGGCGATGAGCCACACCATCTCTTGGGTCCAGGTTGTGCCGCACTTGGGTGGCGACATTACCCAGACGTCGCTCGGGTCCAGCGGGTAGTTGTACAGGTCCTCCAGCTCGGCATCGGCAACTGTTGCCGACAGCTTGAAGCCCCACTGGTTGCAGGATGAAAGGCCGTTTGGATGACCGCGAAATGCGTCTGCGATCATCTTCTGAGTTTCGCTATTTTCGGGAATGATTTTGAACGGAAACGGCTTTCTTTCAGAGCAGCTCATTTCGAAGCCGGCATCAGACGATCTAAAATAGAATGGAAAGACGTCGATGCGTGAGTGCCGTTTTGTGGGACGGCAAGATCGCCCGGTTCTGATGCAGCGTTTTGTGTATTATGCATAATATTTCAGAAGACATCAGGGAGCTTAGGAACAATCGATATCTGTTAATAGGGTCACAGGCTCCTCGTCCGCACCTGTTATGGAAGGTCGATGAACGCATTGATGCCCTCATATCCTTGGAAGCAAGAACAGGCGCAAACAGATCGAGTGAGCCACGCTTTGTCTGATGGGCATGCCATTTCACGAACCCACATCAAACCATCCTTGTGTCATGGACGGTCCTGAGTCACAGAGTCGTGTAATCCAAGGTCGCCAGGAGTTTCACGTGGTCACGTGGGCAGAGCTCGGCGCGGGGTCACGGAGTAATCGTAACCTTTCACATGCCATGACAGCAAGTCAGCTCAGCACAACAAACGTCAGCGTAAAAACTGGATTTTCAGGGGCTTTTCAAATATAGCCCATGGAAGCCAGAAAACACACACACACACACACACACACACACACACACACACACACACACACACACACACACACACACACACACACACACACACACACACACACACACACACACACACACACACACAATGTATATATATGCACATAAATGTATAAATATATGTGTATATACGCATATATAGAAATAAATGTACGTATATATATATATATATATATATATATATATATATATGCATACAATAGTCAGGAGGGTAAATTTCCAGGAAGACATATGTCATAGGTATCGTCCTGAATTCAGGCGTATACATTTTGTCACCAGCTTTACCCATGCTGGCAGCGTGTTATCACTTCACATACACATTTGGCACCTACGCTGAAACCTCATGATGGTCGTGTAAACGTTATAAGGGGATCTAAGGCAGCGTTAAAATTTTTATAAACGAGAACTGGGAGTGAGACCATCCATTCTGCCGCTGATGCAAGGCCGCCGAACGCACCCTAACATAGGGTCCGGCCGTCGGCGCCATGTTGTGTGTCATTGGGGCTTTATGACGCACTCAGCTGCTGAGGCCTATATGACATCGCCAACCTCTCACCCTGGCAGAAAGGGCGGGCACCGCGGGGAATCGAACCCCGTACCTCTGGTTTCCCAGACACGCAGTGGTTAACGCAGACGTGCTAATCATTAACGCAGTCGCGTTAACCACAACACTACCGGCACCCCCGCCGGCGCCATTTTGTTCGCAACGTTAATTTAAACGCGCACGACATCTTATTAAATGTGCCCGAGCTCTGGGCTGACATAAAAAGGAATGTCAGAAGCGTGCTGTAAATCTGCACCTACATACACCGTCTGTCCTGAAACAAAAACTATCTGTCCTGAACTAAAAGGTGAAAAGGTGTGATTTTATTAGTTCTTGGTAGCGATCAGGGACAATAAGACTCTCACGGAGCACATACACGGGGAATTCAAAATCGTTCGAGCAATATTAAAAGTAGCCGGCCGGGAGTGTAACCACACGCGCTTGATAGCATTAATGCAAGGCTGCCGTGCGACAACCCTGCACCGGTTTATGAGACCTTGTAAAAAATTTGGCGACGTGACGGCACTTTCCACCTACATTTGCCACTCCCTCGCTCCCCCCCCCCCCCCCCCCGTACGTGGGAGACCAAGGTGCTACTGGCCACTCGGGCATTGAGGTGGAGATGACTCGAGCAGGACGCGATATTTAAAGGATGACCATTCTACGCTGATGCAAGCAAATACGGCAAGGTTGTATAACTGTTTAGCTTTGGGCAAGGACAGGCAAGGTGTTTGATAGCAGAATTACAGGGATATCAAATGACACCTAATTATCGGCCCGGCCGCACGCGACATTTGGTTCCCAACAGTGACGCGTCCATCCCCGAGCATGTACTGAAATACGTGCCGCCGCTACGCACTTGTAGGCGGCGTTTTAAAATTGCCATCATCGTGCGTAGAAAGTGGAACAACGAGTGTTATTGGCTCAGTGCCGGGCTATCGGACGACTCCAAACATGGGACCAGGCTACAGGCCCTATTTGTTCAGCATGTGAACGCTATCTGACCGCATCGATCATGATTCAATGGCTTTGACATGTGTTCTATGGAGGCATATCTGGTTCAAGTGGCCAACGCCTTTCTATCGAGTGGTCTGAATGGAACCGGTGTGCGTCTGGCACATGTTACCTTTGTGATAACGGGTGTTCTTTCCCGTGTTGCAGGAGGGGGCTGAGCGAGTAGTGAATGGCCAAACAAACCTCAAAACTGGTTCCATGTACTTGGTTTTTTATGCTACACATTGACAGGTGGTGCGGTGAGTTGAACACAAAATGCACTATGTTGGAAGTCTACGGGAGCAAAGCGAGGGCAAGAGATGCCCCCCATTGCCAACCGCATATGAAGCTGCGCCTCTGTCCCCAGCTGCCCCGTGGCGTACGGCATTGCCCTGGGCCAGAAGCTTGAAATCGCGTTTCAGTGTCAGTGAACCGGTGAATGGCTAACATGTTTAGGAGACTCATCCGTACCGACACTTATCTCGTGACAAACCACTTCATGAACGGCCTGCGTCCCCAAGGAGCGAGAACGAGAACATGTAGACGAGAACATCAGGACGGCAAGAGACGTCACATTTGCAATTTGCTTCACAGCCACATTCATATGTCGGGCGAGACGATACATTCATTGTGGTATGAGCCATCCTGCTCTGTTAGTACTAAGGCTACATATTTTGAACAAGACTCATCCTCAGGACTCCACAATCTCGACTTCACCGCCGTACCTCCGGGCAGGTCACGATCTCCTTTGAAGCTCTCCCGGCTAGGACGCGACCTCCTCGTGAAGTACTCCCAGGCGGGAAGTATCTGCTCATTCCGTACCTACGCACAGCACCCAACGCGGCCGCTTGCAGACTCCGAATGACAGACGGCCCGATGCGGCTGAGTATTTACACGCGCCGGGTCGGCGGGAGCGTTCGGCGCCGCTCCAGACGGCACCTGATTGGTCCAGCCGGGCGGCGGTGGCGGGCCTGCCACTGGAGGCACGTCTGGAGGTGATATCCGGGGACGGATGCAGGAGCTTTGATGGGTGGAATGGTCCATTTTCCAAAGGAGTGCTATAGTTAAGAACGGGCATAGCCATGTGAAAACGCCGCTACGAACACATTTCTTTTTTAGGGGAATAGTTGACCAATTCTTGGTGCAAGCGATTTAAGTTTGCTAAACATAACGCCCTGGTTGCTGTGGTAAACAAATGGCTTGCCGTAATAAGATCACAATTTTTTCTTCTGAAAGTGGTCATGCTGGGAAGTTTGTAAGAGCACGCATTTGTCTCACGCCATTGGTTCTGAATCAAAACGAATGGAAGCGGTATTGCCCAGGTGAAATAGTTACATGCCATTTGCATGCAACTATTACACTTGGACAGTATCACATATCGCACATGAATGCATCTAAGTAGCGTTTTTAACGGCAGTTTCGTTTCTGATTCTCTGCTCTTTATATCAAAACTTTCCTTGATCCATCTATGCTTAAAGGAAGTGTTACACATTTGTATGGGGCCTGCATGCGTGGGTATACATCAATATGTATATGGGCTGATATATGAGTATATATATATATATATATATATATATATATATATAATATATTCATACAACAATTGTATTAATGTATCACAGGTAATATGGGCTATTCTTAATCTGTATCTAAAATTTATCAAAATTCTGTCGCTTTCTTACCTTCAATCTGTACCGTATAAGTAGAAATAAGGTATATTTTCTCGTATTACGTAGCACAAAACGTAATTCTTGTTATAATGTGGCATAGCTCGCGCAACATTGGTTTGACAGTCCATTGATGACCGTCACATCTGGAATCCGACCATATCTGTTCCCCTGCAAGGGTCAGGTCGGATTAGGTCACCGACCGTTCAAAATTGGTCTGCCAATAGCCTACGAGAACGATGCTCTTTTGTTTTCATTCACAATGTGCTTCTGACGTTTATCCAAGTTTATCTTATTACGTTCAGCTGTGGGACAAGGGCATTCCAAACGCAAAAATGCCATTTTAGGCTTACCTGGATGTCAGCAAAAGTCATCTTACGTCAGATTTATAAAACATCCAATTGCAAAATTGAAGCGCTAACCGGGTCAAAGTGATTAGCACAACGCTTTTCTTCGGTCAGAAATAGTGTGTTGTACATCTACAGTCACTCAAGATCGCATAGCTGTTGTGAACATTATACATAGTCCCTTCGACGCGTGATGATGTATTTGTAGCAAACTGAAGACAGGCTCGTTCCTACATGAAAATTTACGCCATTATCCCCACAAGCACGGTATAGAGGTGGTGATACTTGTCGCATTCATTCATCTAGCCTCTCAACAGTTGACAACAAAGGTCATTGAATAGAATGACACACCAAATTTTGGTTTAAGTGGAGTATTTAAATTCTGCGCCCGAAATTATCTAACAAAACTGCCTGTTTTAGGCACAGTATATGTTTTGCCGAAAGCACCCGAAGAGGTAGGTCATGGCCTGGGCCAAGGTCATGTGCTTTGAGGTCATAGGATGGTTGTGCACGTGAGTCAGTACTCTTTTCCTCACATGCAAGCAACAAAATGGCAAAAAAATGCATAAAATGTTTTCACTGTTCACGAAAACATCAAACGTTTATCTGATGCCAGGTCAATGCCCTCGCCTGTTTCGAAAAAGCTAAAATAAACAAACTGTAGGTACCATCATGCTCTATTCCTTCAGCAAGTTTGGGCAATGGCAAATAACTAAAGGCGTTATGTGTGGTCAAAATTTCAAGAGGTTAACTTCTTTGACTGGTCACTTGAACTGGTCACACACTTAGGTCACTTTAGAACTTAGCAGATGAAATCTTCAAAATTGTACAACGGTAGTCAAATCTGGTGTTGCTGGTCAAATCTGGTCAAATCTGGTAGTCAAATCTGGTGTTGCCGCATATGTTCGTTATTAGGCTGTACTTCAAAAGCCTTAAGGGGGGGGGGGTAAAGTCAACTTTCCCTGGTCGGGTCGGGTCATTGTTTGATCCGTGTTCACAAGCACCAAGTGTCCTGAATAATCTTAATGGTTTCGTTGGCATTGTTTTATGTTTTCGACTCACAGGGTTTTATGTCCTTCAAATTCCTTTGAATGCATGTTAACTCTCCTCCCCTCAAATGTGTTCTCCCATCTCTCGTCTCACTGTTCATTTAAGTTCGCATGCGGCGCGCACGAGAGGCAATATCTACAGAGCTTCGTCGACATCAATAATGGCTGGCAATTTTCTCCTTCGTCGATCCCATGAATACAAGTTACCTTTAAAAATCGTGGCCGGCAATTTAAAAAGAAACCTGAAGAATTTAGCGAGATCGATAGAGAACTTTTCATTTACCGCTCATAATCGTTTCAATCGTTTTGACGACAACATGTAACTGGAATGTAAATATATATATATATATATATATATATATATATATATATATATATATGCATATATGCAAATATATACGAAAAACCTATCTGATGTCCTATATATCTAGATTTATATCTATAATACATACATCTTTTCTGCTGACTATTCCACAAAAGGTTGGGCTAACAGTTTTGTATTAGCTGTATGTATGATGTCGCTCGCAAATGTACTTATCAACTTACGTAAGCCCTGGAATCGAGTAACTCCAGAATAGAATAACTCCAGAATATCTCCAGAATACGCCATAACTTTATATGTAAATGCAAGTAAACGCCTTGAACTCACGGAGAAATATGCAAGGACACCACGAAGAATGGTCAAAACTCGAGCACATAACGATATTTGATTCAGCAAGCACCTCCAGCACCGCTGCTGCCACCCCATGGGAAAAAGAAATACTACAAGCGCGGCGGTCGAATTGTATTCTTTGTGAGTGCTTTGCTCCCCCCTCGATGCTGGCTTGCCCCCCAATATTTCGCAGGAATACTACAAAAGCGTAGGGAAAAGTTGGCCATCACACAAGGAGCATTTTTTTAAATTGTGTCTCGCGATAGCGCCGCCAAGGTGTTACTTAGTTCCTCAAATGAGGGGGAATCTTAGAAATTTTGAAAAACCATTTAATATTTACTTTTTTGGTTGTTTCAGTCAAATGTATGCCCAGACGCCTTCCTCCCCGCAGCCTAACACGATATTGTCGCCAAGGCGCGTGCAGCGGGAAGACTTGACGCCGCAACCTCAAAATATGTTCCTGAAATGGAGAGTAGCCTTCGACATTGGGGGCGACCCATTTTATATTCGACTTCTTAAACTTCGTTCACCAAGCGTAAGCACAGACGCTTTTCCCCCGTTAATCAAACATGCTATTGTTGCCAATGATTCACCGGTCTCGTTCATCGACTCTGATGTCCCAAACGATATTTGGTCTTCCAACCGTGGTGGGCTACGTACCTTACGTTGTTTTATTTGAAGTTGAAACCCGCATGGCATTGCTATGTTTCACGAGAAAAAGGTGACACATTTTTGGCGCAACATCGTTAGTTCAGATTGCAAGTCCAGTTCGGCTACCAAATCAGAAACAATGTGGAAAAAGTATTGCTGGGAAGTATTTTTTGTCTGATTCTGCTCCGCTACGTTCTAAACATGGCGTGTTGCTAGCATTCCCAACCCACCATCCCATTATTGAATAGCAATTCCGACGGATTTATTTTGCCTCGGGTCCTTATCTAAATAGCACAAAAGGATCTTTGCTGTGTCATAAGATTGCCCGACTGTCGGCCGTTCTATGCCCAGGCTGACGCTATAAAACCAACAGCCAAAAGCTCCTCTTTGAACAGTTCTTCTGGGAGATAAAGCTACCACCACGCGTTTCGCCACATCACGAATGTGGTCAGTATAACTCAGCGTTTCTACCGAAGGTGGGCCGCCGCTTCGACGGTTGGTGAGTCTGTGCGCCAATGAACGTTCGTTTTGCGAACATTTTACGCATTACAGCCAACGGTTTCAGAGGAAGGTGACTTCTGTAAGCTGCTCCTACACTGATACCTAGGTCAACAGTATCACCTATTATCTGGACATCAGACGTGGATGGGTTGTATTGAATTAATGTAGGATACGATTTTTTGAACAGCGGTATTAGTTTTGACATCCCTTACGCATATCGAGGCCATATTAGGGCAATGTTTGAGCTTCGTCAGCAGTCCTATGGCCAATACGTCTTATGTTGTTTTTTTTTGTTATGTTCTTTTCCCATTGTAGGAAGTGCAACGACTCGGGATTAAGTTAAACTTCCGACGGCGAAAAAAGTGCATTGCCGTGTGCAGCAGAGCAGGACATCATTTGATAATGCGCAATCTTCCGCATCCAAGTCCAACTTCTTGGGTGGACTGGTCATTTATCCCTTGTTTATGTGATGAATACTAGCCTATGTGCTGTATGAATTGCTTGCAAAATATGGCAAGCATCCACTCAACGGAAATTTACTCGCACCTGAGGCGTGCAACAAGCCAATGATAAGCATGCATATGGAGATCCTATTAATGACGTCGTACACACGCTCCATGACGCAATCAAACAACAACGCATCAATCAGCATATTTGCAATATTTGAAATTTTGTTTTCTTAAGAAGTCTGTCCATCAAAATGTATATGAAAAGTTACATGTTTGCTTCTCTCATCATATTTCATGTTTGCTTCAGTACCTATAATGAAAAATATTCCCTTTAAATGAGAAAAACACATTGATTGCGACGCCACAGGCTATTAATGATGCATGCCAATTTAGGATATCTGTGCACCGACAACCATCCATGGTATTAAATATGCGCAGCGAACAGATGCAACATAACAAACAAGAAATGTGCACGCACGTGGCAGCGTTAATGAGAACTTGATTAATGTCCGAGAGAAAGACTGAAAACCGATGAAGGGGCGACGTCGCG